GCTTCATGCTTGCGCAGTAAGTGATCTGCCATACCTATAGCCACAGCCATGGACCACATTTTTAGAAGCATTCTTTCTGTTGTTTTGTACTTGGAGAACTTTTATGAATGAGTGAATCCTCAAATTCCTCCACACTACTGGGTTCTCGTGAAGTGTTAATGAATGAGTGAATTTTCAGGAAGGAATTCCTCCACACTACTGGGTTCTCGTGAGGTGTTAATGATCTTGCAACTGAGCCACCTTCCTAGCAGACAGCCTCTGGTCTTTGGTGACGAACATTTCTCGTTGGGTAGGTGTGTCCCTTTTCAGATCTGGACCAGCTCTGAAGTGGAAGTCTACAGTCTTGAGTTTAATTCTATGTTGCCATGGCAGCTGTATGTATCCTGCTTGATCCTGGGAAGAATGGGTGAAGGAGGACAGGATTACTGAGTCTCCTTAATGTGTCAAGTGCAATGCCAGATGCTTTCTGTGACCATGACTGGCGCTGCCAATACTGAGTTCTTCCTGGTGTGTTAAGTCCTTGGAATATTCTGTCACAACGCTCCTATAATGCATGTATGATTAGTATCCCCATGTTTTTAGGTACATAGACTGAAGCTTTGAGGCTCTATGAATAGTATGTATTGCCAGAGAAAGGAATTTAAACCCAGGCAGTCAGTTTCAAAGCCTACATTTCTTTCTTTCTCTTTCTCTCTCTCTCTCTCTCTCTCTCTCTCTCTCTCTCTCTCTCTCTCTCTCTCTCTCTTCCTCCTCCTCTTTTTCGAACCACACACATTTCAGGCTGACCTTGAACTTGCTATCTAGCTAAGGATGTCCTTGATCTTCTGATTCTCCTGCCTTTCCCCAGTGTTGGGATAATAAACACGCATCTCCATGCCTGTTTTGTGATGCCAGAGTACACACTCAGGACTTTGTGCATACTAGGTGAGCACTCTGCCAACTGAGCTACATCCCCAGTCCCAAAGTTCACATTCCCCCCCCCCCCACTTGTTTTGTTTGTTTTGTTTTTTAAGACAAGGTTTCACTGTGTGCCCTTTGCTGATCTTGAACTCACTATAGGCAGACCAGGTTGGTCTTGAACTCATGATATCTGCCTGCCTTTGCCTTCTAAATACTGGGATCAAAGTCCACATTTTTGATTACTGGATTCTTTTGCCTCTACCTGCAAACTACAGAGAAGGAAGGGGGGATCAGAGAGGTCAGACAACTCTCCCATTTTCTAAGGGGAGGATCCAGGCTTGGAGTCCAGAGCTTCTGAAGGCAAAGTTCTTGTCTCTTCCCTTGTCCCTGCTTCCTTAGCTACAAAACGTTTTTGGATGTAAGGGCAAGAGGATGTAGAATCGTGTCATTGGTGTCCTGTATCTGGGGCAGCTTACAGAAAGGTCATTATGGGATCTTATCCTTGAGGATGGTTAGGAATATGTTATCTGGGGACACTGGGACATCCTATTGCACAAAGCTCCAGGCAACCCCTGGAGCAGGCCAGTCTTTTAATGTCCTGAGGCAAAGGGCTCTGATCCTGGACTTTAAAGAAGGAAAGGTCACATAGTTGGAGTTCAGAGGGTAGAATAGCATGGGATGTGTGTGTTTTAGAGGAGGCTAGACATGGGGCATGGCAATTTCATGCTCACTAAAGCTTTGAGGACTTTATCCTTAGTGTCCTGGACGCTAGTAGTCCTGGAGAGAAGTGTGGACTGATTCATCTATTTTGAAGCTCAGTTGCTCAAGAAGAAATGGGAGCAGTGAGCATCTGCTGGAATCCGCTGCAATCATTCGGTGAGCAGGCAGCGTGGTTTGCTCTGCAGCAGAGACAAAGAGTAAAGAAAGGGTTCGAGCCCAGAAGTATGTAGGAAGCAGAATCAACAAGCCCCAGGAGAGAGGAAGGAGACAAGAATATGTTCAGACACTGATGAGCATAAGTGTTGGGGTGCATACGGTTGTTTAGTAGGAGCCCAGCCCGAGGCTAGGCTGAAATACACTCCTAGGGAAGGAAACCAGGTTTCCTGTAGAGAAGACAGGCATGGTGGCTCATGCCTATAATCCCACTGCTTGGGAGGTAGAAATGTAGAAGGGTTGCCAACAGTTTGAGGTTAGCCTGGGCTACAGATTGAGGCCACACTTCAATAAAAACCAAACCCCAAACCATACATGCAAATGGACAACACAAAAGGGTCAGCAAGCTGGCTCAGTGGGTAAAAGCGATTGCCACCAAACCTGATGCTGTGTCTGATTTCCAGAACTTACATAGTGGAAGAGAGGACCAACTCCAGCAGCTGTTGGGCCACTTTCTACACTTATTCATGTTGCAGCTCATAAGTACCTACCCCTCCACATAAACAACAACAAAATAGATTTCAGTTTAGCAGTTAGAGAAACTGAGTTAAAACCTGCTTCCCAGGATAGAAAGGTGCTTGGTTCAAAGCTGGGTAGGGACCTGGGGGCTCATGCAGATACTTTGATTTTTTTTTTTTGTTTTTTGTTTTCTTTTTTTTTTTTTTTTCGAGACAGGGTTTCTCTGTGGCTTTGGAGCCTGTCCTGGAACTAGCTCTGTAGACCAGGCTGGTCTCAAACTCACAGAGATCCTCCTGCCTCTGCCTCCCGAGTGCTGGGATTAAAGGCATGCGCTACCATAGCCCGGCACGCAGGTACTTTGAATACGTGGAAAAGACCCACAATTTCACCCTGTCCCGTTAATAATTTTTATTATCTTGCCTCTTTAATATGTCTACATGTAAAATTGGACTTTACTCTTCCTATTGTTACTATGTAACGACGGTCAGTGCGCAGTCATATTTTTTTGAGACTCTTTAGACCAGGCTGATCACAGAGTCACAGAGATCTGCCTGCTTCTGCTTCCACAGCGCTGAGACTAAAGGCGCTCATCATTACAGCGGGCTCCTCACTGTGTTTGGATGATTTAGGAGCAGGTGTCCAGAGTCAGGTCACTGGGAATCTAGGCATCTTTTGTAACATTCTTGCTATATTGCTAACCTGCTTCCCCAAAGGGCTGCTCTAGACTGTAGCCTCAGGGCCAGTGCAGGAGAGAACTGATTTCATGCTACTCATGCCAGAACTGGGGGGGTAGATTTTGAACAAATATTTGATAAAGTGAAAATTCTTAAATATATTTTATCATTTCTTCTACTTATAGTGAAGTTAATTTTTTTCATTTCCTTCTTCTTCTTCTTCTTCTTCTTCTTCTTCTTCTTCTTCTTCTTCTTCTTCTTCTTCTTCTTCTTCTCCTCCTCCTCCTCCTCCTCCTCCTCCTCCTCCTCCTCCTCCTCCTCCTCCTCCTCCTCCTCCTCCTCCTCCTCCTTCTTCTTTTGCTTTGTGTGAAACAAGGTTTCTCTGTGTATCCCTGGCTGTCCTGGAATTCACTCAGTATCCCGGGCTGGCCTCAATCTCACAAAGATCCGCCTGCCTCTGCTTCCTGAGTGTTGGGATTAAAGGCATGTACCCCCACTGTCTGGCCTGCATCTACTTCTTTAAAAAATAGTTTTGGTTACATTTTTTACTTACTGTGTGTGCGCGTGTGCACATGTATGCGTGCAGACAGACAACCTGCTGAAGTTTGTTCTTCCATCACGTGGGTTCTGGGACTCCAAATCAGGTCATCAGAATTGGCAACAGTGCCTACACCTGCTGAGACATCTCACTGGCCCCTGTATCTGTACCTATTCCTTTTGAAGGCTGATGACTTTCAACTTGTGCCTCTCCCTCCCGTCTCTGTCTCTCCCTCCCGTCTCTGTCTCTCAAGTATTACAGGCACGTGCCATCACACCAGCATTTATACAGGGCTGGAGACGGAACTCCGGGTTTGGTGGAGGCACTTTAGCACCTTTGCTACAACCCTAGCTTTTACCATCACCATATCCTTTTTGTTATTATGTTATTGTTCCTGCGTGAGCACAGGGACAGTGTGCTGCAGCAAATATGGAGAGGTGAGAGACAGTTTTGGGACTGGTGCTGCTCCACAGCCAAACTATGATACTCCCTACACCACATATTAAAATTAGTTTATGCCAAGGGCTGCAAAGATGGGTAAAACTACTTCTCCCAAAGGACTGGAGTTGCTCCCAGTACTCATATCGGGTGGTTCACAGCTAAACTGTGTAATGCCAGCTCCACGGTGCTCCCTTCTAGCTCTGAGGGGACCTAAACAAATGCGTTCACACCAGCACAAAGACACATGCATATACACAATTAAAACCAAATCCTTAAAATTATTTTACTACAGACCATTGTGTTATAGTTCAATTGCCCTACTCAACATCTGAATCATTTTGCCACACTTCAGGGCAATTGGCCATTTGAATTATTATTTACAACCCTTTTCCCCCCACCGGGATGTATGTATTGGTGCAAGTTTTTAATCCCAGCTTTTAGGAGAGAGAGAGAGAGAGAGAGAGAGAGAGAGAGAGAGAGAGAGAGAGAGAGAGAGAGAGAGAGAAAGACAGGAGAATCTGAATTCGAGGCCAGCCAGGGCTACACAGTGGGATCCTGTTTCAAAAAAACAATATACAAATAAAGAAGGGAACAAAAGGTGTTACCAGTTCGAGACCAACCGTACCTTTTAAATGGGATTGCATGAAAAATCCCATGTGATTTCGACTTTACCTAATTCATTGCAGCATTGTAATACTAAAAAATAAAAATCCAGTTTTTGCTGGCCCAAGGTTAGGACGGCGAAGAAGCCACGCAAGCTCCCTCCGGGTCCCTCAAACTGGCGCAGTTGCTGGCTGGAGTTGCCGTTCTGGATCCGCGTTGATGACGCGGTTGGCTTCGTCATGGAACCAGAGTGAAGGGCCCAGTACGGGATTCATGTCCTAGGCAGGCTCGGATTGATAATCAGGCTGGCTCCTCGGCTTCCACACCCGTGATTCCCAGGCTAGCCCGCCGACCTCTCCAGGGCGCCAGAGCGGCCGGACCCCTCGGTGCTCGGACCCCAGGGCACCACGGCTATGTTTCCGGGAGCAGTTTTGGGCAGGGCACCAACCGGAAGTGCCCGTGTTGTGGCGGAAGGAGGAGCTTGCGTGGAGCAGCTGGTGCCGAGAGAAGCGGGACCGGCAAAGATGATTCAGGCGATTCTGGTTTTCAACAACCATGGGAAGCCGCGACTGGTCCGCTTCTACCAGCGTTTTGTGAGTGCGGCCCGGCCCGTCACGCACCCGCGTCCATTCCCCTCCCCTCGGCGCGCAGCAGCGCTCGCCAGCACCTCGGGCTCCGGCACCGTGCATGACCCACCGCCTCATCCTCCTGGGGACCCGGCTCTTCTGTGCTCTGACACTTTCCCTTGGGTCTTAGGCCAGACACGATACACAGTGTGCCTCACTGGGATCTTGGACGACAAAAACCATTGTCTTTAGGCTTTTTTTTTTTTTTAATTTAATTGATGAGCGTAGTTTTGTGATAGTCGGGTCTTTGGGTTCTTGTAAGTTTTTTGTTTTCTCAAGGTGGGGAGAAGTTCTTTCCTGGAATTACTTGCTTCATTGTTGGCTGGGACTTATCAGGGTTGGTCTACCCTTTACCCAGTAAGATTACAGAAAGTCTCTTTCAAAATTGGGGTTAACCCGGGGTGGGGGTTAGTGGCGCATACCTTTAATCCCAGCACTTGGGAGGCAGAGGCAGGCGGATCTCAGGGAGTTTGAGGCCAGCCTGGTCTACAAAGCGAGTTCCAGGACAGCCAAAACTGTCTCAAACCCTGTCTCAAAAAGGGGGAGGGATAAAATGAGGTATATTACAAGCTGTCAGATGTAGCGGTGTGCACCAGTAAGCTGAGAACTCAGAAGATGGAGTCCTAAGGATGAGGACTTCAAAGTTATCCTCGGATAGACAGTTGTTCAAAGCCAGCTTAGCTGCACCAGACCGTATCTCAAGAAAGCAAATAACTAAACAAATGCTGTCACGGGATGGCTCAGCAATATTCCTTCTCTAGAATCATTTCCTTTGGGAAAACGCAAACGTTGTTATTTGTCTCCCGTCCCCCAACATTTTATTCGTGGCTAGGTTTCAAAATACAAAACCGAGAGAGAGACTGGTTAAACCCAAGGGGAATGGAATTAGAAAACATTCAGGCTTCAGCCCCTCCTTTCCTTCTCTTGTGTGAGTTGACAAGGGAGAAATGTCTCTAGGATTTTTATTCCTTTTTCGTCATAAATGAAAAATAATTTGCTTTTTTATTTTTACTTTTGGTTTTTCAAGACAGGGTTTCTCAGTAGCTATGGAACCAGTCCTGCAACTCACTCTATAGATCAGGTTGGTCTTGAACTCACAGAGATCCACTTGCCTCTGCCTCCCAAGTGCTGAGATTAAAGGCGTGCACCACCATTGCCCGGTTAATTTGCTTTTTTAAGTAGGTGTTTCAAGCAGCATTTTAAAAAAATACGCTTAATATAACTTCGACTTGTGTATACATTTGTTTCTCCTAAGTTATTGAGATATAAATGACTAAAAAGAAAAGAGATATATAAATGACTATACGGCTACTTATCATATCACAGTTTGAGAACCTTTTTATCTCTACCCTTAAAGAAACTCCTCCCTTTTAGCAGTTTACTTCACTGGCGGTAAGCAAGCACTTGCTTTCCCTTTAAGTTTTTGAACGTTTTTTCTAAGTAGAATTGTAATAATGTATGGGCTTTTTAGTCTTTTACTTATGAAGACATACTTAAGTTTCATCTTTATTGTAGCATTCATATATATGTGTTCTTATTTTGAAGCAGGATTTCATTATGTAGCTCTGGTTGGCTTGGGACTGGAGGTCCCTCTAGGCTTGGTGGCACAGGTCTATGTTCACTGCACTTGGGAAACTGAGGTAGGAGTATTGTGAGTTCATGGCCAACCTTGGGTACATAATGAAAACATTATAAGCACCAAAAAACAAAATCCAAGCAACCAACCGCCAAAAGAGTAGAAAAGATTCTCTAGCCCAGCCTTCCACATCCTGAAGTTTGAGGCATGCCATTGTGCTCTGCTGCTCAATCCGTGTTTCCCATTATTGCTGTATCTAGCATTTATAAATAATGCTTCTGTGACCATTCATGGGTTGAGTTTTAGTTTTAGTAGGCATAGCTTTTCATTTCTCTTGCATTAGTAGTAGAATCATTAATAACTCAGTGATAAACTTTTTTTAAGTAGTTTATTTTTATTTTTTATTCTTATGTGCATTGGTGTTTTCCTGCATGTATGTCTCTGTAAGGGTGTTGGGTCTCCTAAAACTGAAGGGTGTTGTGAGCTGCCATGTGGGTGCTGGGAATTGAACCTGGGTCCTCTGCAAGAGTAGTCGATTAACTGCTGAGCCATCTCTCCAGCTCTAATGGTAAACATTTTAAGAACCTTCTAAAGTGTTTTCCAAGTGGTTGTACCCTTTCACACTGTTATCAACAATGTATCAGTATTCCATTTTCTTCATATGTCTTCCATTGTGTATCTTCTTTGATTTGTTTTCTGAACTAGGGAGTGAATTTAGGGCCTCTCTCATTCTAGGCATTTTTCCTCCACTGGGCTATAAATCCTAGCCATGTTGCCTTTAATTAAAGGCATTTTAGTGGATGAAAATGAATCTCTTTTTAAAAGGTTTTGATGTCTGTTTCATAGTAACTAAGGATGCTGAGCACCTACCTATCTTTTCTTATGCTTATTAGCTATTTGTATGTCTTTGAAGATCATAGACTTGTTTAAGAACCTCTTGAGTGAGATTCCCTTGAAAATTGCGGCGGACTAATAGATAGGAAGGGTTGTTAAAATAACTGGGGCACGGAAGCAGCCCAAAGTTTGCCTTTCTGTTGAGCTAGGAATTAGTTGGCCTCATTGTTCCATACCACCAGCTCATCCCCATTTTTGCCACTTTCACCTATAGTTGGATAAAGGGCTTCAGTTGAAGATGTTTCTGTCAGCTTAAAAAAGTGCTGATGCTTAACGTGCTTTGTGCTTCTGAGCACGCAGAGTTAATCTTTGACAACATCCTGGCAAATGTGAGCTTGATGTGTTCACATGGAAACCAGAAAGATAGTGATTGATTTGTTCCAGTTTGTGGGCCAGCGGTTAACAGGTTTGCATCCATGCGTTCACTAGGCGCTGAGAGCCTTTAGAGCCCACACTGGGCCAGCCATTTCCTCAGTGACTAGTTCCTGGGTTTTGTGTTGTCCCCCTCCCCATACTTCATAGCTTTTAAATAACTGGCCCTCTCAAAGCTAAGTGCGGTGGTGTAGAATGAAAGGGACTAGTTTTTTGTTTGCTTTTGTTTTTTTTTTTTTTTTTTTTGTTTTTCAAGACAGGGTTTCTCTGTAGTTTTTGGATCTAGCTCTTGTAGATCAGGCTGGCTTCGAACTCATAGAGATCCACCTGCCTCTGCCTCGCAAGTGCTGGGATTCAAGGCGTGTGCCACCACCGCCCGGCTGGGATTAATTTTTTTAAATGTGTTTTCCTGACTTAAGGAAGATTCAAGTTGAATGTTTACTTACGCTGTGCCCCTCAGAGTGTGGTCCCCAGACCCGAAGCACTGGTGTCCTGTAGGAGCTTGTTAGAGCTTATAGGAGTAGTCTCAGGCTCTAGCCCAGGCATATTAAAGAGGAACCTGCATTTAAACATCATCCCTGACTGATTGATCCCACATTACGATGTGAGAAGACTATCTAGAGGGTTAAATTTTCTTTTTAGATTTATTTATTTTATGTGTGTGACTGTTTTGCCTGAAATTATGTGTATCTACCACATAAGTACCTGGTGCCATTGGAGATCAGAAGAGGGCGTTGGATCCCTTGGGACTGGATTAACTAATGGTTGTTAGCCATCCTGTGGCTACTGGGAATTGAACCTGGATCCTCTGTAAGAGTAGCAAATGCTTTTAAAGACTAAACCAATTCTCCAGCTCCTGATCTCGAGTTTTGTTGTTGTACGTTTTTTGTCTGTTTGCTTGATTTGTTGGTTGGTTTGGTTTTTCAAGACAGGGGTTCTTTGTGTAGCCTTGGCTATCTTGGAACTTACTCTGCAGACCAGGGTGATCTAGAACTGACAGAGATCTGCCTGCCTCTGCCTCCAAGGCATGTGCCACCACTGCTGGTCTCTCTTCTAGAGTTTTTAACTACCTAGTTTCTGTCTGTTTTTTCCCTAATCCTTTTTGTTTGTTTTGAGACAGGGTCTCGACACGTATCCCTGGCTGACCTGGATCTTACTGTGTAGACTAGGCTGGCCTTGAATTTACAATCCTCCTGCTTCTTGCTGATATTAAAGCACTACCATTCCTACCCCGCCCCCACCTTTATACAGGGTCTCACGTTCCTCCTGCCTTCACTTACCAAGTGCTGGGATTGCAGACTTGCTCTACTGCAGTGGGCTTTCTTTCTCTGCTCCTCTCTACCCCTCCCCACTCTTCCCTCTGTTTTGTTTTGTTGAGCTAGTACAGTTCAAGCTGGCCTGGAATTCACCATATAAACCAGGCTGTCCTTCAATTTAGTGACAGTCCTGCCTTAGCCTCCAGCATGCTGGACTTGCAGAAGTGAGCCATCACACATGACTTTTTATAAAACTCAACATGTAAGTGGAAATCAAATGTGATTTAGCAAGAGTTACATTCACAGTTGAGGTTTCTCAAGATTGCGAGTGACTATTAAGTGGGAAAAGTTTATTTGTAGTTTTGCCCAAAATTCAGATCTGCAAATATAGCATTTTCTGTTTCTCCCAATTGCTGGTGAGCAAAACAGCATCTTATATGTAGCATTGGTATTACAGTTTAAAAACACTGACAAATTTATCTTTGAGGCAATGTACATGATTACATCTTGACCTTCACACAGTGCTGGAACTTTGAGATTTGTTAATTACACAGTAAAGATATTTTTTCCAGGGGGAAAAAAAAAACTGGGCAGTACCTTTAATCCCAGCTCCCAGGAGGCAGAGGTGGGTGGATCTCTGTTTAAGGCCAGTTCTATGGAACTAGTTTCAGGACAAGGCTTCACAAAGAAACCCTGTCTCAAAAAAACCAACCAACCAAACAAAACAAAACAAAACTTGAGGATCTTTGTGAGTCTATGAATTCTGATTCCTTGTCTATAAAATGGCAATATTTGTGACTGAGATATGTAGGTAAATAAGCCACCTTAATCTCTGGAGGCCCTGTCTTTCCCGTAGTCATTCTCGGTTCTCCTTGTGTCTATACATGATCTTTTCCAATTGTCCTCAGTGTAAATCCCCTTTTCTACATAGCTGTCCTTATCGACGGACACTCTGTTTCTCACTTGCCCCCAGCCCGGTTTTTTGTTGTTCCACAGCCAGAAGAAATTCAGCAGCAGATTGTTCGAGAGACTTTCCATCTGGTCCTCAAGCGGGATGACAACATCTGTAACTTCTTAGAAGGTGGAAGGTAAGCCATCAGCTTCAGGTCACCAGCCCCTAGTCCCCAGAGCCATGTTTGGGGGGCCTTCGTTACTTTTGTTTCTTCTGGTAACCTCAGGGATCAGTGGCTACCTGATCCAGTGTAACCTGTGTGTGGGAGGGGGTGTTGTTAAGACTGGGTTTCTCTGTGTAGCCCCGGCTATCCCTGAACTCAGAGGTCTGCTACCTCTACCTCCCGAGTGCTGGGATTAAAGGTGCATACCACTACACCAGACCTATATAACCTGTTCTTAGCATGAGCTGCTCAGGGAGACAGCCTGGCTCTCTTTGGGAGATGCTTGCTTTACTGGGCTTCAGCCATCACTCTGAATTTTTTTTAATTAATTTATTTTTATTTTATGTCCACTGGTGTTTTGTCATCGTGGATGTCAGAACCTCTGCAATAGGAGTTACAGACAGTTGTCAGCTGCCTTGTGGGTGCTGGGGATTTGACCTGGTGCTATGGAACACCAGTTGGTGCCCTTAACCCCTGAGCCATCTCTCCAGCCCCAAGCCATCACTCTGATGTTTGGGTCACTGGCAGGATAGGTAAAAAGAAAGCTATAGGGTGAAGTCAAGTGGCTTTAAGTTCCTCTCCCAAACTTAGTTGTTGTCCGTGTGAGATGTGCCGTTCTGAGTGGCCAGCCTTCCTCTTTGTTAGGCCCATTTCCCTTCTTTGGTGCGAGGTTCTTGCATATGCTTACTTAACATCTGAGTTCTCAGCTGTTCACTCCTGTCTCCCGCAGTCTGATTGGTGGTGCTGACTACAAACTGATTTACCGGCACTATGCAACCCTCTACTTCGTATTTTGTGTGGATTCCTCAGAGAGTGAACTTGGGATCTTGGACCTTATCCAGGTATGTGTAGCCAACAGATAATGGAGGCAATTTTCAGAGTTCCACAGGGGTTTTGAGTAATCTGCCTTGGTTTGGATCCTTTTTTTGGTCTCCTCTGTTGGACTAGAAGTCCAAACATCAGGGAGGAGTTGCTCCAGACACCACTCACACAGCCACAATTGATGCAAAAGCAAGAGGATTTTTATTCTGTCATGACAGGGCCCTTCAGGTTCGGGATATGAAGGATATCCGATAGCTGGTACAGTCCATCTTTTAAAGCAAAAAGCCACAGACACAAGGGGGGGACCTGTAAGTTTTTTTCCAGCTTATTGGATTGGCCTATTCGAAGGGTTACTAGCAGTGATTGGTCTATTCCAGGGCAGGAGAATAACTGTGTGATGGGGGAGATAAGGGAGAGCATCTGTGGTCCATCCTGACCTTGTTCTGGTGACTAAATCAATACATCAGAACTGAATCAACATCTGTGGGTTGTCTTTGCCTCAATTCCCAGAATGGAGTTATATATGAAGATTATTCACAAGGACACAGGAGGATGAGCCGTCCAGCATGTGTGTGTGTGGGGGGGGGGGCAGGGGGCGACTGTCCCGTTTAAGGTTTTAGAAAAATGTCTTAGGGTTGAGGGGGCTTAACAAATGCATTTAGAGTCTTTCACCTCACCAACGTTGGTCAGAGTTGCCCAATGTCCACCAGGTGGTGCTCTGGGACCGCGTGTGAGCAACCTTCCAGTTGGTTTCTGCCCAGCCCTTGCACTGCCCTTGGTTTTTAATGTTTTGAATTTTCTTTCACCTCTGAAACCAAACTACATTGAAGTATTTATACAAGACACGTGCACTTGTGTTTGTGTAGCTGCTTATGGAGGCCAGAGATTGACATCTGGTACCTTATTTTTGAGTTAGAGCCAAAGAAAGATTCAGCTAAGATAGTCTTGCCAGCAAGCCCCAGGCGTCATCTTATTTTTCCCTCTGAAGTGCTAGATTTGCCGCCCTGGGCTTTTTGTTTGGGTTCCAGGAGATCAAACTGAGGTCCTTCTGTTTGTGCTGCAAGAACTTACCTACTGAATCATCTCCCTAGTCCTAAGTGTCTACACATTTAACTTTTACTTATGATGGTAGCCTAGAGCAAAAGCATGGTTCACACACAGTGTCTTCTCCCCCAGTTAATTTCATAGCCAATTTTAGTTGTAAAACCAAGAGCCAGAGTTATCTTAAGAAGTCTAAAGGCACACATGAGAACAAAACAGAATGAAAGAAGCTGAAAGCTGAGTGTGGTGGTGCTGTGGTCCTAGCTACTCAGGAGGCTGAGACCGAATTGTTGCAGGATGCCTTTTGTGGGCTCTTAGTCTTAAAGATGAAAGAGTTTTTAAATAGACTAAGAAGGTCCTGGGCAGGGGTGGCGCATGCCTTTAATCCCCAGCACTCGGGAGACAGAGTCAGGAGGATCTCTGTGAGTTCGAGGTCAGCCTGGTCTACAAGAGCTAGTTCCAGGACAGGCTCCAAAACTACAGAGAAACCCTCAAAAAAACCTGTCTTGAAAAACAAACAAACAAAAGAATGAAGCTGTATGAGCACTTTTATTGGAATTTGAAGGATAAAAACGTTAGGACTAACATGCTGGAAATCTCAGCAACTACCAGGATTGGGGGTGAAGTGGGATGGGCTGGGGATAAGATACAAGAAAATCATGCACCAGCTACTCTAGCATAAAAAGGGTGAACAACTAGAGGCTCCATCTCAAACAAGGTGGAAAGTGAGGACCAACACCTGAGGGTAGCCTCTGGCCTCCACATGAAAATCATGCTTCCTGAGTGTGAGGTCAAGAAAGCATTGGATTTCCTGTTTCTACAAATCAGTTAGAAAATACATAGTTAAAGAAAATATTACATGGTGATTTAGGTTAGTGTTTGCAAATTAACTTTTTATGATGTACCTGATACTGATTCCTATTGAAGTACAGAATTGGACCAGCTGTGGCAGTGCATTCCCTAATCCCAGCACTCAGGGAAATAGGCAGGAGAATCACTGCCAAGTTCAAGGCCCCATCTGGTAACACAGTGAGTTCCAGCCAGCCAATACTACTTAGTGAGACTCTGTAAAAACAAAACAACAACAGCAACAAACAAAAATTGCAAAATCATAAAAGAAAAACATAAAGTCATATTCGGTGTAATTGTTGGGAGGTCACGCAAAGACAACAGCAACCTCAAAGGTGGTATCAGTGGATCAGATACGAAAGCAAGTCCAGTTCTACCAGGAGGTCTTCAAGAGCCAGGAAAGGGAAACTCAGGGGAAGAAAGTAGAGCACTAATGTGCTGTGAGCCAACACCTAGCCATTGAGTAGCTACAGCCGACAACAGCTCAGTCCCCGCCAGCTTAAAACATTATAAATGTGTACATTTCAATTAAATGTGTTTGTGGGAGAGAGACAGGGGTGTACACAAGAGCGTGAGTGCCCTGGTACAGGTTTACAGGGCCATCTTGTTAGGGTTTCTCTGGCTGTGATGAACACCAGGACGAAAAGCAGCTTATGAGGAAATGGTTTATTTCAACTAACAGTTCCGCACCACAGCCCATTACTGAGGGGAAGTCAGGGAAGAAACTCAAGCTGGGCAGGAATCTGGAGACAAGAGCTGATGTAGAAGCTGCTTACTGGCTTGCTTTCCATGACTAGCTTAACCTGCTTTTAGATAATCCAAGATCACTAGCCCATCGGTGGTTCCACCTAGAGTGAGTGAGCTGGGCTTTCTTGTCAGGAAAATGCCCAGCAGGCTTGCCCATATTGCCCATAGGCCAATGTGGTGACTAGCTGACATAAAGCTAGCTAGCACTGGGGGGCTGCAGAGATGGCTCAGAGGTTAAGAGCACTGACTGCTTTTCCAGAGGTCCTGAGTTCAATTCCCAGCAACCACCATGATGGCCCACAGCCATCAATAATGAGATCTGGTGCCTTCTTATGGCATGTGCATATATAATAAATAAACAAACTTAAAAAAAAAAAGCTAGCCAGCACCAGGTCAGAACTATCTTGTGGGAGTCAGTTCTCTCCCTCTACCCTGAGTCCAGGCTTGTCAGCAAGCACCTTTACCATGAGCAGCCATCTTGCTAGCTAGCCCTATGCTTTTTTCTTTTTAATGTTTCAATATTTTAATTCTTAAGGTTTTATGACAGATTCTGATACATGGTAAGAAAAATCTGTCCTTGTTATCGCTGTTTTCTCAGAGTATTCTTTCATATTTTCCAGAAATGATTGATTTGGAATATGTACGTGAGGAACTTTTCAATTTGGTAAAAATTTTCCAGTATTTCCAGGGTTTCTCTGTGTAGCCCCTAGCTGCCCTAGAACTTGCTTTGTAGACCAGGCAGGCCTCAAACTCATAGATCCTCCTGCTTCTGCCTCCTGAGTGCTGGGCTTAAAGGTGTGTACCACCACTACTCCAGCTTTAACTACTAAACTACCATTTCTTTTTTGTTGTTTTGTTTTAACTTTTTTAGATTTGTCTATTTAATTTTAATGTGTATCAGTGTTTTACCTGGACGTATGTCTGTGTGTCATGTGCCTGCCAGTGCCTCCTGAGATAAGAAGACGGCTTTAGATTCCTGGGATTGTAGTGTGGAAGGCCGGGAGCCACAATGTGGGCACTGGGAATTGAACTTGGGTTCTCTGCGAGAGCAACAAATGTCACCTCTACAAAAACAACCACTGAGCCATCTCCCCAGTCTGTCACTGCTGTTTTTAAACAAAATATTGTCATAGTGCCACTGTGACATTTTTGGAATTTCATGTGCTTGCATTTCTGTAAGATATACACCCGAGGAATACAGTCGCTAGGTCCTAGAGTATTAATACTTAATGGCCAGTCATTTTCCAGTATTTGGTTTCTAATAGGAACCAGTACCAGTTATCAGTCCTAGGTCAGGATGTCAGACACTTCTGCTCATTGCATCTTGATATCAGCATCATCAAGGAAGAAGGTAGTCAAGCTCAGGATGGAATAACACTTTGCTAACTAAGGCAGAAATTGGTACCAGTTGTGGGGCATTGCTTGACAGACTCGACCATATGTTTTTGGGAGGATTGTGCTGGTATTTGAACTTTGGGCTGGAAAAGCCATCAAGTGCTCAGAGCTCAGTGGCTTGTTCTATGGGAGCTTGGACGATAAGAATACTGAGAGAAATGCAAATGGTAGAGACCTGGTTTGTGAAGTTTCAGAGGGAAGTAGAGATTAGTAAGGCCAAATATATGATATTTTGAATTAAGAATCCTTGGTTCTGGTAAGCTGGGGCTGAAGAATCAGCCATGATTAACAAGAGACCAGTACGACTGAAGTGAAACTTTGCTTTGCTAGGATGATTGATGCTGGTCAGCTGGAACTGAGATGTCAGCAATAGTTAAGAAGAAGTCAGCATCACCGAGGTGAAATCTTTTGAGAGGTGTTTCCTCGGGGTCAGCATACAGAAGCTCTGGTCCAGAGGAGGCTGAGGCTGTATCTCATGCTGGGAACTGTGGTAAATGAATAAGAGTCATTTAGGTGGTATTGGTTTTGAAGGCGTGAAGAGGTTAGGGTGAGCATCTGAGCCTTGGCACCCATAGGAGGGTAGCAGAGGCCATAGAGAAGGTGCGGCTTCAGTTGAAGTCAAGTCCCAGGGTTGAGAAGCTGAGACTTGGCACTGCGTGGCAGGGTCACAGTCCCTGAAGAGAGCCCAGGAGAGGGTATTGGTGAAGGTACAGCCCAGTTGCAAAGACTGCATCATTTTGGAGATGTCAGCACTGTGGGATGGCCACCAGAGAGCACCACAGCAACTGTGAAGGGGAGCTAGCTTGAGCCTAGGAGACAAGCTGTGGATGCTGCAGAGGGCAGAGCTGGAGAAGTGGCACAGGCCCTTTGGAGCCCAGAGGATCATGGGTGAGTCCCAGACATCAATCACTGAACTTCATTGTAGTTGAATTTTGGTTTTGCTTTAATCTGACTGTGACTGACTGTACCCTGGTTCTTCGTTTTTGAAATAGAAGAATGTAACTTATTTTTTATTTTATAGGAGCCCACGGTTAAGAGACTGGAGTTTTAGAGAGACTTTGGAATTTCAGAGAGGCTTTGGATGTTCTAGAGAACCTTTGAACATTGGAGAAAACTGAATGTTTTAAAGAGACTTTTAAAGTGTTTGATTTTTAAGACTGTAGAACTTTGGGGGGTTGGCTCAGTGGTTAAGAGCCCTGGGTTCAATTCCCAGCATCCACCTAACAGCTCACAATTGCCTATAACTCCAAGATCTGTCACCCTCACACAAACATGCATTCAGGAAAAACATCAATGCACATAAAATAAAAATAAATACATTAAAAAAAAAAAGACTGTGGAGAGATGGCTCAGAGGTTAAAAACACTGGCTGTTCTTCTAGAGGTCCTGAGTTCAATACCTAGTAACCACATGGTGGCTCACAACCATCTATAATAAGATCTGGCTTACTCTTCTGGCCTGCAGGCATACATGCAGATGGAACACTGCATATATTAAATAAAGAAATCTTAAAAAAAAAAAAAAAGACTGGAACTTTTAAAAGTTGAAACTGGCTGGAGAAATGGCTCAGTGGTTAAACATATTGTTCTTGTAAACGACCCAAGTTTAATTCTCAGCACCTGCCTCAGGCAGTTTACAACTGCCTGGATCTCCAGCTTCAGGGAGCTGACGCCTTTCTGGTCTCCTCAGCACATATACAACAGACATACATACACATAAACAAGTTTTTAAAAGTTTTAAATTTTTATATTGTACTGTTAATATGAGATCTTAGGGGTGGACAGATACCAAAGGAATAGTTGCCAGGTGGTAGTGGCACACTTAGGCAGCAGAGGCAGGTGGATCTCTAAATTTGAGGTCAGCCTGGACTACAGAGTGAGTTCCAGGACAGCCAGGGCAACACAGAGAAACCCTGTCTCGAAAAACCAAAAATAAATAAACAAACAAGAAAAAAATGCATAAATACAAAATTTTCAATTAATACTATAAGGAAGTTTTTTAATGTATGTGTACTTCAGGTTTGGGGGACTACTTAATAGTGTAAGTAGTTGGTATTTTATTCTTTAATGTAAATTAGCATCTTATAAAAGAGAAGAGAAAGCCTTAGTGTGTCTGCTGGTTGGATTGCTAGGCAGAGAACAAGGCTTTCCTGCCTAGCTGATCGGCCCTGGGGTTGGCTAAGAAGTAGGCATCAGTTAATGTTGGAGACTGGGCTTGCTGATCTGCTTTGAGCTCTATTGTGAGGGAAAAGGAGTGTCATGGCTGCCCCTATTACTTTATTTATTTATTTTTTGCTTTTATAACATTTTAAGATAGCAAGGCCCCAGGTGGCCCGAGAAGTCCTTGAATTTTCAGTCCTCCTGCTTGAACAGTTGGGATTATTGGCCGGCATCTCTAGTTTCAGACTTCTTTAATGACCTTGAGGTCTCAGTGTGTGGCTCAGGCTGGTCTCCAGCCATCTTCAAGCCTGAGCTTCTGTCTTGGGGGGACTGGTGCACTCTTCAGGCTCGCCCCTTTTTCTTTCTCGTGTGACGTCTGTAAAATGGCTAGTAATGGTTTTCTCATTTTCTTCTTTTTTCTTAGGTTTTTGTGGAGACTCTGGATAAGTGTTTTGAAAATGTATGTGAGTTGGATTTGATCTTCCATATGGATAAGGTATGTCCTCTCCTAGAACAGGGCTCCTGGAAGACTGAGTTTAGGACTGTCTAGCCATCTGTGTACCTTCCTGTTCCTTCTCTTGTTCTTTTGCTCTGACCTAGTTCTAGAGTCTTAGTTTTAATCAATTAATTAATTAATTAATTTTTGCAGTACTGGAGATTGAATCCAGAGCCTTTCACTTGCTAACCAGGTACTCTGCCACCAAGCCATACATCAAGCCTGAACTTGTTTTATTTAGTAAGGTTAATAGTTCTGAGGGGACAGTGAGATGGCTTAGTGGGTGAAAGTACTTGCTTGTCAAGCTTTGATCACCTGAGCTGGATCCTCAGAATCTACTTGGTAAAAGGAGAAAACTGACTACTGTAAATTGTCCTCTGACCTCAAGATGTGCCCTCCCACCCCAAGATAGATAGATAAGCAAATATGTTTTTATCCTTCTACTTTTTTTTTTTTGGTGTTTTTTTTTTTTTTAATTTTGAGACAGGGTTTCTCTGTGTAGCCCTGGCTGTTCTGGAACAGATCTGCCTGCCTCTGTTTGGACTAAAGGCATGTGATGTGCCACCATACCCTATTTCTAAAAGATTTTAAATAGTTTTGAGAGTTGGTGGGTTTTTTTTTTTGTTTGTTTGTTTGATAATGTTTATGGGTATTTGTCTTCATGTGTGTTTGTGCAATAAATGTGTATCTGGTACCCCCAGAGACAAGGCTATGACATTGGATCCTCCGGGACTGGAGTTATAGAGGGTTGTGAGCTGCTATGTGGGTCCTGGGAATTGAACCCAGATCCTTTGAAGAGCAGCCTGTGCTCTTAACTGCTGAGCTGTCTCTCCAGCCCCAGTGTATTTTGGGTGTTGTTGGTGGCTGGTTTTTGCTAAGATCTATTAGTTGTTTTAGCACACAGATATTAGCACCTGGCCTGTTTCCTGGCTCTTTTGTTCACAGGTTTATAGCAGTTATGACACCAGGATAAGTAACTGTACCTACAAAACTGAAATGAGTTTCCTAGACATAGGCTAGTAACGGTGAAGCTTTGCGATGGAGAGAACTCGGGAACTCTAATGTAATGCAGTTTGTATCTTGGGGGACTGTGTGGCTCAGAGATTGAGTGTTCATACTGCTCTTGGCAGAAGATCCAGACTTAGTTCCCAGTACCCCCATGGGAGCACACAACCAGTTGTTTGTAACTCCAGTCAGGAGATTGCTTCTGGCTTCTACAGATGCTAGGCGTGATGTTGTACATATACAAAGAGCCAAACACTCAAGCACATAAAGTAAAAAAGTCTTTAAAAACAAAACGAAACGAAAACTTTGCTGAGGAGCAGCGTAGGAAACAATACATCTGCAACATCATTTGAGATCAGATGCAAGATGCTCTTAGGAAAGTCTATTTGGACAGAATTGACACAGATCCAAGTAGTGTTCTCAGATTTGTTTTGTTAGCATAACTATGATGAGGCCTGTGTCCTCATCTGCCAAGTTAAACAGGAGACAGCTCACAGGAGGACAGTAATGTTATTCGTCCAGCTGGCACATGCTGTCCTTGGTGATGTTCACTGGCAAATCAGCCAATGACCTTCCAGTGATCCATGGCTTTGGGAAGGAATTGTAATTTAAAAAAATCCTCATTTTATTATTATTTATTTTATGTGTATGGGTATTTTACCTGCATGTTTGTTTGTATGCCACTTGTGCAGTGCCCATGGAGGTCAGAAAAGGGTGTTGGATCTCTTGGAACTGGAGTTACAAGATGGTTATGACCCATCATGTAAGTGCTGGGAATCAGACCTGCATCCTCTAGAGAGAGGTCGGTGCTCTTAACTCCTGAGCCATCTCTCCAGCCTCCCTTGTTTTGATAAAACTGTGCATTGTTACGAGCATAATTTTATTAGTTTGTTATGATCATGACAGCAAGAGTTTTTAGACTAGTCCCTGCTAGCATTACTGTGCTGAACACTTCCTGGCCATTTTCCAGTGGCTTCTCTTCTTTTTCTTCTCTGTTGACTGTACCAGGGTTCTATTTGAAGGTAATGTGTATTTTTTAAAATAAAACTGCATCCATTATGTATCTTTTCACTTCTTTTTTTTTTTTCTTTTCACTTCTTTTGGGGAAAGTGTTTGAGATCGGCTGTCTGTGAACTTCCCATAGCCTGTTATGTAGGTGACTTCAAACCTATGATAATCCTCCTGCCTCACCTCTCAAGTCTAGGATTACAGACATGAGCTGCAACATCTAGCTCTATTTTTCCATTTCTTTAGCTCTGTCAATTAAAGCCAGGTGATGGTGACTCTTTCCTCAATCCTAGCACTCAGGAGGCAGAGGGAGTCGATATTTGTGAGTTCTAGGCCAACCTAGACTATAGAGTGAGTTCTAGGACAACCAGGACTACACAGAAAAACTGTCTTAAAAAGCATCCCCCCAAAAAAGAAAGAAAAAGTCTTCATCTATTAATTAACATTTTGTTATATTTTATCCTAGACATCTATTTTTATGTACATGGTATTTGGAATATTATTTTTTTTTAAGATTATTATTTATTATGTATGCAGTGTTCTGCCTGTATTCTGCCTGCATGCCAGAAGGCGGCACCAGATCTCTTTACAGATGGTTGTGAGCTACCATGTGGTTACTGGGAATTGAACTCAGGACCTCTGGAAGAGCAGACATTGCTCTTAACCTCCGAGCCATCCCTCCAGCCCAGGAATATTAATTTTCAATGTATTGTTGCTATATAGAATTTACTTTGTTTATATTTTGTACCATGACCAGTGGTTGTGTTAAACACTTAAGAATTCTCTTATATTTTAGACATTTTGTTTATTTCTTTCCGGTGCTTTTATTTTTCATGTTTTCTCTACCCCCACTCTGCTGCCCAGGATCTCTAGCGTTGTGCTGACGAGAAACGGGGTGAATGGCATCAGGTTTTAGTTGCTGGTTTCAGAAGCACCGTTCATCCCGTCGCTATGAGTGCAGCATTTGCCATGGGTCTTTTGTAAACATTCTCTATCAGGCTAAGGAGGGTTCTTCCTTGTTCTTCCTGCTGCCTGGTGTTTCTAATCATGAAGCCTGTCAAGACTTCTCTGAAGTCATTTTCTCTATCTCCTGGGTGACCTTTGGCCTCATTCTAATGCTGTTTTAAACATCTGTGATGATGTCTGCTCAATCAGTAAAGTGGTTCCAGCTCTGTTTTACTGGGCATGGCTTTTAGAAGGAAGTGGCAATAAAAATACTGCCCTTTCTCATATGTCTTATCTTCAGTGAAGTTCCATAAAGTACCGCGCTGCCACAGCAGATTCCTTTACTGTTTATACAACTGTTTATTTTTAGCTGGTGATTGGCACAGGAAATGGCCGCTCTTATCTATTGGAGTTGTTGAAATCAATGGTGGAAGAAGGAGTCAGAATCCTATCTTAGTCACCCTTAGACTGTCTGAAGGTGTTTTCCAGCAAGCGACTTTCCTTTCATTTCCTTTCTAGCTTATTACAGTCGCCCTCACGAAACATTTGCCATCATCATCAGCTGTTTTGTTTCGTTTGTATAGGCAAAAGACCTATCACAAAACGGCAAGGTTATGACTGAATTCCATCCTTCTTTACTGAAGACTTCCCACCTGAGGCCAGAAGTTCCTGGTCCTATTTTGCGGGTGTACACCACCTGTTAGCTTCCATGTCACCTCACACTCGGGGCATAGAGCAACTGGTCTTGTAGACTGCGTATGACTGAATTTCTAATACTTTGGAAAGTTTTTCAATCTCGGTGTCTCTGTTGTTTGCTTTGGGAAAGGGTCTCGTGTAGCCTAGGCTGGCCTTGAGTTTATTGTATGGCTGAGGCTAAACTGAACAGTCTTATACATTATACCCATCTTTCATTTTTATTTCATCTATTCCCTTTCTAGAGCCCCATAACCTGGTTTTCACACATTAACCCCACCACCACTTGCCGTTCTTAGGTGATTTACTGATCTCCAGATCCTGTAACCATTTCTTGGCCAACACCACCCACTCCTCTTCCTCCTCCTTTTAAAGATTTATTTATTTTTATTTGGATTGGTGTTTTGCCTGTACGTATGTCCATGCGAGGGTGCCAGATACCCTGGAACTGGAGTTACTATTTGTGAGCTGCCATGTGGGTGCCAGGAATTGAACCCTTGTCCTCTTTTTTTTGGGGGGGGGGGGTTCAAGACAGGGTTTCTCCGTAGCTTTTGGTTTCTGTCCTGGAACTAGCTCTTGTAGTCCAGTCTGGCCTCGAACTCACAGAGATCCGCCTGCCTCTGCCTCCCGAGTGCTGGGATTAAAGGTGTGCACTACCACCGCCCAGCTAACCCTTGTCCTCTTAACCACTGACCCTCCTCTCCAGCCCTGATCATCACCTTCTTATTGTCTCTGTAGTACGTAGTGCTGTGAGCTCTTTCTGATCTTCTGTTGTTACCTCAGAATCTTTCTGATTTTTTAACCTGTTTTCCTCCCCCTTTATAGAGTCAGCTATATTTCTATATTTCATACTTATTTCATAGTTAAACTACTACTCTTTTTTTTTTCCCCAGGTAGGGTCTCCCTGTGTAGGCCTGGCTGTCCTGGAACAGCTGTGTAGACCAGGCTGGCTACCAACTCACTGCCTCTGCCTTCCCAGTGCTAGGATTAAAGGTGTGTGTCGCCATGCAGGGAAACTACCGCTTTTGATGGTAATTCTCAAATCTGTCTTGATGGTCTTGTTTTAATGTCCTGCTCTTTGTTGGAGACAGCATCTCATAGCACACACTGTCCTCAGATTTTCAGTGTGACTGAATAGGGTCCAGTTCTGTTGTCTGTGAGGTGGCCATCCACTCTTTAGACACATCAGGACCATATCTTTGCAGAGGTGATTGGGTCCTCAGTGCTTTCAGCATCCCCTAAACACAGCTCAGGGTCCTGATATTGGACTATGGTGATTGTTTTATTTTGTTGAAAACTGAGTGAGTGACACAGCATTCTCATCTGCAGCATCTCAGCAGCAAAAGGGG